GGGCGGGCCCCCGCCCGGCCCCCCGCCCCCGCCGCATCTGGGCGAAGCACCGCGACCTCTCCTTGCCCGTCCCCAAGTTCAAGGTAAGGGCGAGGGGGATTTGGGGGGGTCCCCCCCCCCCCCCCCCCCCCCCCCCCCCCCCCCCGGAGGAGGAGGAGGAGGAGGAGGAGGAGGAGGAGGGGTCCCTTCACGCGTATGGTGAGGGGTATCGTCTATACGCAAATGTGCACGTTTTCACTTTGTCACTTTAAAAGCTGGCCAGTAATTTTGTTTTTAAACCTTCTCTCATTCACTTTTATTCTGCTTTTCTACAGCCAGCCCTCCACAAGCTCTCTCCATGAACGAGCTACAGCAAATAACTGATGACATTTCCAACCTGACCATTGTGCATGCAATTGTACTCAACAGTGACTTCAAACTGCAAGTGCCCAGTTTCTCCCCCAAAAGGGGGGGGGTGGGGGGGGTGGGTGTATTCAGGCTTGGCTTCTTTCTGTCACGTGACAGAAAACGTGAGAATGTGGGAAGGAGGTGGGTTTGGATCTGACTGTAGAAGTAACAAGAAAATAAGATGGCTCCTGAAATAAAAAAAATGTTGGAGCTTGTTTTATTTATTCATTGCCTCATGATTTACTAGTTGTTCTTAAATACGATGAGTATCAGATATGACTCACTAGCATTGAAAGATTTACAGGCTTCAGCTGTATAAGCTGTGACTTTGACAAGAACAAAGCAGACTTTTCAGTGAAGATCTCCTTTGAGGTGCCTGTTTTAGTTAAAGATCTGTTTAAGTCACTGACATTCTCTTATTGCAAAACCAAGCACTAGCTGGAAAAACATTCTCTTGATCTTCTCTGAGGGCTTGGAGAGTTTCCCTGAAAAATGCTATGCTCTTTTTACCCCTCAGTTAAGACAGGTTAAAAGTGCTGAATTTTATGAACAGGGTTGAAAGGAGGGAGTCCCGCTTCAGAAGAAGAGGAAATTTAGGTTGAGAGAGATTTCCATGAGCTAGGGAAAGGGGAGGTGCATTGCTGCCAGATAGAAATAAAGACTAAGAGAAGAAAATGTCCAAACACCCAAACCACAATGAAAGCCAAGAGGAATGGTCCTATTGAACTGAGAGGTCGTGGTTGTCTGATGTTAACAGAAAACCCCTCCCCTCCTCTCTTCTTTCTTAGCCTGTAAAACAGAGTGAAGGAGACATTGCAGAAAGCCTTCTGGGACAGCCTGGAGGAACAGCTCTCTGCCGCTCCCCCAGACTACACTTGGGCAATCCAGCTTCTGCAGAAGACAAAAGAGGTGAGTTGTTCACCAGAGAAGATGGTTACCTTAGAATTAGCCTTCTCTGAATCATCACCTCACCCCTTACACCCAATAGTCCTATATGAATATGTGTAAGAGGGAGGAGAAAATAGGCTCCCTTTAGTTTATAGGGAGACAGAAATTACACAACTGCACCTTCTAAAACCTGTCTGAGAAGGAAACTCATTCTCTGGTCCCAGGTCTTTAAAACACATACTCTACCGAAAGGATGGAAAGCCTTTGTTTGAATTGTTGGCTACAGTAACAGCCGTAGGCCATTCCAGGTATAGTGTCTGCCAAACAAAAACTGCAATTCTCTATACAAAGACACCTCATTAGGCATATGAGGAGCTGTATCTACTATTTAAGTGTACAATGAAGTAAGAACATGGTTTAGCACTAAAAGACACATGTTCTTAGCAGGGCATGAAGTGTATAGTTCGCTTTTTCAGTCTATGCTTTCCCATTAGGCTCCAGACAGATAACTTCCTTCTTTCATGCATGGCAGTAAAGGAGGCTTTGCAAGATTTGAAACAGTAGGCAGACATCCTGAAGTGAGTCATTAGAGTCGAGCATTCCCTTAAAGCGATTGTGTGCCCCAGAAGTTGTGTACTGAATAGTTAGCTTAGTCTCAATACAAGGCCAACCTTGATTCCTGTTGAGCAGCTCTGGAGAACTGTTGAGTTCCTGGAACAAAATGAGACCGCTGCTTCTTTGGGCAGGCCCTGCTATCATTGCTGCTGCCACGGCACAACCGACTGTGAAGCCAGGTTGAAGAGACCTTGGACATGGAGTTGATTAGACAGGAGGCTGAGCGTGAAGCTCTGGACATCCACGGTCTCACCACATACATCCTTGGCACAATGGCAAGGCTGTGTGCGCCCATTTGAGATGAGGAAGTACGAGGGTACTCGTACTCACAGACTCAGCTCAACTTCTCAGGTGGGTGATGCTGACTCAGCCTTGGTCTACACAGACTGGCAAAACCTTCAACCGTAAAATATTGGGTTAAGGGGAAACTGCCTTGGAATTATGGCCCAAGGACCCTTTTGTGCATTCTGGGCTTCGACTTCCTTATTTTTTTTCCAATGTAGACATAGTCCTGTTGCCCAGCTGCAATTTAGGCAGTAGAAGAGTCTTTAGTGAAGTAAATCTGGTTTATCTAGCAATTTTTAGGGACCACTCCAATTAGACCTTTTGTGAGAAAATGGAATCAAGTCAGAGGATCTGAATTCCCCTTCCTCAGCATTCTAAAATGGCCCCAATTACAGCATTTACTGCAGTATTAAACCTTCAATTCACTGTGTCTCATCCCAGTGAGATTTTCTGGGTGTTGGGCCTGATGAAAATGGATATGCTGAATTTTACCATCCAGAGCCTCTGCACCCACTTGCAAGACCACACCGTCCAGTATGAATGGAAGAAATTCCAGGAACTCTTGGATAGGCTGCCTAGTAAGTCAGAGGGGAAGGGAGGGGAGAACTGCTAGTTCTACAGGAGCTATTAAAGCACTCAAAGGGAACTTTTAGTATTCCAAAGGTGATGCTTTCATCATGGGCTCAGTAACAGATGAGAGAAATGCCTCTAAAAGCTGGAGGACTCCTGGGTCCCTTCCTCAAGGCTCTTCACTACCATACCTTGCAGAAAAGAAGTTACTCAGTGTGGTTCGTTTTCTGCATGCATAAGACAGAGCTGATAGCTTTCTCATGAGGAACTGTAAGTTCTCACGAGTTTAAAGTGTTTTGAAATCCTCAGAGGAATGAGCAAAATGTTATTAGGAGGCATACTTAAAGAGGAAAGCCTGCATTTGATGTAGACATCTCTTTTGCTAGGCTGTAGAAGATTTCTCTCTGGCTGCCTCTCTCCTTCATCAGACTCCATTGAAGGTGCTTCTTGGAGACTGAAATCCTCTAGGAAATATAATGTTCTCCAGATACCAGCCTCAGTAGCCTAACCCTTTGCCCTGGCAACAATACATTAATATTGTATGTTAGTGATGGTGTAAGCCGTTCCCCACTGTTCCAGGAGCCAGCACGATGCCTTCGTCTTCCAAATGCACGTCCCTTTCAGCTTGCAGTATAGCTTACCCGCTTCTTACTGACTTAGCCTGACCAGTCTGTTCTTGCAAACATCCATTTTTGTTACCCCATTGCAGATAGCCTGGATCGCACAAGAGAGTGGCTGTGCAAAGCAGCAGCGGAAGTGTCCGCGTCCTCTTCACAGCCGCCACCCTGCCCTGCCGTCAGCAGCTCACCTGCTGCACGCACGCTGGGGCTGTCAGCAGTAGCACAACTGTGCCAAGTCTCATGTCTGTGCTAATTTGAGGATACGTGAATCTGCTCTGCTGGGAGCCTGGGCAAAAGGAATACCCTGAGGTAGGAGAAGTGCTTGGACACCTTTACAGCGTTTTCATAAAGATGTACAAAATTAACAAGTGTACCGGTTCTGCATCTTCTATAGAAAGAATTGGCCAGACTCTCTGTCCCCTCTGCACCATGAGTCATCACACGTGGTTTTTCCCTATGTGAAACAAATTGGATTTTTCACAAAACTAACCCTCCCTGCTGCCAGGCAGCTGCCCTCCACTCAGCTTCATGGGGATGTTACAGCCCTGCTCCATGGCTTGAGATCTGCTGAGTTATCACAGCTGCTGTTTCTACACCCACAGGCTGATTTGGTTTCTGTTCACAGGTGCTGTTTATGGATCAGGCCCCACTGCAGGAAGTACAAGCGGAGGTGAATCAGCTTACCGTCACAGCTGCAGTCCTGCTAGTGACCAGTGGCATGTGTGGAAGCACCTTGTGTGGCTCACCTGGGTTTGTAGCTAGGCTGAAATGGGTAACAAAGGTCCTCTTGAAGGGCTGTCTTGTACCAGGTGGGTTACTCTGAGTTTTCTTTTCCAGAAGAACAGTGAGTAGAGTATGCAGACGCTGGTTGGTTGCGGGATGAGCAGCAGGACTCTCCCGGGAGAGGAA